TGCATCTTCTTGGAGCAAAAACGATTGATAATCTGATAGAGTTTAGCATGATGAGAGGCAGTTGCAACAAGGAAAGGTGTGCGGAGTGGTTGCGTCGAACGTTGGGCACACTGTAGACGTTCCGTTGCGCTGAATCTCGTTCCCTTCCTTACGTCATTGATCACTTGATTGCGAGATTAAACGATAGTCCGCACTGCGCCCATAACTAAGAGAGAGAGAGTTTGATCAAAATAGCCCGAGATGGCACCGAAATGAGATAAGTAACTGGCCTCTTGCAGGGTCTTTTGGACTGCCAAGTGAACATTTGTTCTCTGGTACTCTACGCTATACCCGTTCCTTCGCTCCAAACGGACAGCTCGTTTGATCACACAATCTCTATTTGTAAACCCGCTTTGATTTCACTCACAAGGGGATCGAACATGCCATCTGCTCACTTGTGTTGGCTCCGTCGGTTTTGATTCGGGAACTGTGCTGACTTCGCCTTACCTCTACATCTCGGACTTTATGATTTGTACACGTTCGTGAACCAAAACCTGCCCCGACACCCCTCTTTGTCTAATACTAGCGCGTGCAGACACATTTTTCACCTCGACGGGTGGAAGGCTTAGGTCCGGATAGCAGTGGGTCGACTACCGTTCACCCGAGTTTGACCACGCGATATCTCTTACTTAGCTTCAGTGTAACCACCAATTGCTAAACACCCCCTAAACTGCGATCGCTCTGCATCTGTTTGAGTTCAACAGCCATACTGGCACTGGAGTGTATACTTGCCCGAATGCTATTGGCTGATTTTCAACTACTCGAAACGTACGGTAAGCATTTATGTGCGTGTGCATAGGAGAATGCCATTTTAATGCGTTATAGACCAGGTTGAGTGGTCTTGCGGAGGAACATGAGTTCCTCAATGATCATTTCGACTGCACTACAGATGCGATTTGCTGGGACAAGTGCAGTTGTGATATCGCGCCGCTCACCAACCACTAGCTTGCGCGTTACTGCCGTGCAGAGGACAGGGTAGACTCGTCAGCAAGCAACGAACTATCTAAACTCAAATCGCTAATTTACTTGGCATTATAGGCAACGCGGTCCGTGTACTGATTACAAGGGAGTAGTAGGGGGAGTTGATAGGTATAGGTAAAAATTTATCACATCCAACTGTTTGCTCAGCGGTCTGAACTACAGACTAGCGAGTTCAAGTTCCACAGGAGTCAGATGAAATGCGCACTGCTGACAATTCTCGAAAAGACGAAATGGCTGTACATTGCTGTTTCGAATCCGTGCTAGCTATCTGAAGGGTCTAGTTGTGGTGACTTTCAACTCAGCATTCAAATGTTCTACTACTCCCTTGTTGATTTATGTTCATCAGCCTATCGCGCGCGGTGCCAACATTGAATATCCTCTTCGCTTGCGTCGAGCGCACAGTATCAGTTTGTAGTGGGCAAAACGATTATCGCAGCCTTGTTTCACATCCATGATAAAAGAAATGTCCTTCTAGCTTCATGTCACTTCCCTTTAAATCAATTGATCTTGTCACCGGATTATCCAGAACTGACCAAACCGCTGCGCGTTACCCCACGAGGCACACTATCCAAAGCTCAATGGGGCCTAATGGGTACTTTCCACGATGGCTGGTTTCGTTCGCAGCGCTTCTACTGCAATTGACGGTCTGCTAATTGCATGCCGATTTGGCTTGGGCTCCTACTAAATCTGCGTTGTTCTTCGGCTGCGCTTGCCACCATCTTGTGAGCAGCGTGACGGCTGAGCGGCTCCTGAACGATTCGGCTGCCAGCACAATATAGCAAATTGGTACCTCGATGGTCATTAACACATTGCTCACTCCCCCTTTATCTAGTGGTAAGTGCTTGCTTTTTCCTTTACACGCTTTCCACTATACAGCACAGCGCATATATATTTGAAGGACCACTGCTTTTTTCACAATTATTTCATAAGCACTCAGATTCACCGCTTTGTATTCCAGCTGGTGCTTTCCGTTCTTCAGTTGGTCTCACAGTATTAACCATAGTCTTTCACACTCAATACTTCCATTACGTTAGACGTTTCTTAGCCACCATTTATGCTTTCATTCTGAGAATCGTTGAAATGTCTGTGCCACATCTGCATTATACCTGCAGATTGTAAACAGCGCTTGATACAGCGTCCATCAAACTTCTCACTTGTTCAGAGGCGTACCCGTATTTTACTTTCCATTAGTCCTAGACTTCCCTTTACTAATGTCCTTCAGCTCTGTCTGCTTTGTCAGCGTACTTTCTGACAAAATCATGGAGGCACTAGTCTTATTTCCATTGCTTCATAACTGCTCACATGTATCAATCTTCGATGACTGACTGGTCCCCGTGGAAACCGAATCACTGAAATCCAGGTTGGCTTCCGCCCTGGTCGTGGTCATATAGACCACATATTTACTTTTCGCCAAGTGTTGGAGCAGAGACACATACAGATGACCGACAATGGTGGTTTTCCTTGACCCGAAAGCTGCCTTCGACTCTGTTGACCGCGCCAACTTGTGACACTGCCTATCCATAAAGGACTGCCGACTAAATTCCTTTCCATTCTTAAGTCTCTACCGTAACTCCCATGGCCGTGTAAGGGTCTACCGCAAACTATCTCTTGAGTTCTCCATGACAACTGGAGTTCGCCAAGATTGTCCTATATCTCCCTCTTCAACTTTGTTATCGGAAGCTCATGAAGGACTCCGTTCTTTCAGACTCTACCGGATTGGAAGTTCTACCAGGTGACCTACTGACAAACCTGGAGTATGCGGACGACATAGCCCTTTTTGGGTCAGACGCCGTAGCTATGCAAACACTGCTGGATAAACTGTCGCGTAGTGCCGCACGTTTCGGCGTGTGCTTTGCACCTTCAGAGTGCAAAGTACTGGTGCAGGACTGGACCGATACACCTCCGGTTCTAGCCATCACTGGACAACCACTGGAAGTGGTGGATCGGTTCACTTATCTTCGTAGCTATATCACCTCTGGTGATCACATCACTGAGGAAGTTACTTCGCGTATCAGCAAGGCCTTTGTGGCTTTCCTGAGACCCAACCATTTATGGAGACGGCGGGATACCAGCCTGTCAGTGAAAGTTAGGATGCATAACGCTGCGGTAGGGCTTATCTTACTGTATGGATCAGAGACCTGGCCAGTTCTAGGCGGAGACATTAAAAGCTTGGCCGTGTTTGACCACCGGTGTTTGCGGAGTATTGCTCACGTTTGGTGGGAACACCGGGCGAGCAATGTTGAGTTCCGCCAGTTGCTTTTTGGCAAGAAGTCATCTGGTCCCTCACTCGAGTGTTTACTGAATCTTGATCGCTTAGGTTGGCTAGGCCATATTCTACGTATGCCCGTTGACCGGCTTCCTCGGCGTGCATTATACGCCGTGGCTGCACCAATTTGGGCGAAACCGCGAGGTAGCCAATCCATGACGTGGCATAGTGGCTTGAAGAAATATACTGAGAGACTTGGTCAGGCAGGTGCATGCCGTCTTTGTGAATGGGGACCTCGGGATTGTCCACACCAATGTTTAGGGACCGTATCTCACACGGCGCAGTCAGTGGCGTTCTTGCATACGGTTTCTTGCATCTGTTTGTTAATTTTTGTTTTATTCTGGTTAGTTTAACGCAATTCCTTTTTGCTTCCATTTTCTTTACGTTCTATTTGCCTTTAACCCCACTATCTTGCTAGTGTTATCTATGGTTATTCTGGCGGTGTGAGTCGTTGCAACTTGATCTACCGCACTCCGGTGCTCCGATCATAGTTAATCAATTGAACTGAACTGTCTGCCTTGGTTTTTCACTCTATCATGCATTTCAATGCTACAAACTTCTTCAATTAGCTGCTTGCGCATCATCAGGTACGACACTAGTGCGCTAATAATCGTACCATGCACGATTTCTGTTTGTCTTCTCGCACAACATCTTATATCTCTCTTTTACCGTTTCGATGTTATTTCATCTCATCAGATGGAGATAGCAGGCCTCGAGCCCGGGACCATTGGGGTGTTAGTTGTGACCGCTACACCTAAACCACCGGGTCACGACGAACAACGCTTGGCACATCGGTGCATGGTAGATTTTGAGAGTCATTTTGAAGTATTCGTTGTGTGGATGGATTTCGACACGCAATCTCAATTTTGACCGCGATTCCCATTGAGGTGAACCTTGGTCTTTCGATCACGAGGACCATAGCTGAAGCAGCTAGAAATTAGGTGCTGACCGCCCGAAAACACCACTCTTATGACGCGTGTCGAGGTTACTTCATCTATCATTGACCGTTGTGTCAAGCGTTGGCCCTCGTGACCCGGTGGCTTAGGGGTAGCTGTCACAGCAAACATCCCAATGGTCTCGGGTTCGATTCCTTCTATATCTATCTAATGAGCTGAAATAACATCGAAACGCGTCATAGGAATCCAAAGTTTTCGAGCAGCGAGCTCTCATTTCCTCTCTACTTCAGCTACGGTCCTCCTGATCGAAAGACAAAGGTTCACTTCAGTGGGAATCGCGGTCAACATTGAGATTGCATGTCGCAATCTATCCACACGTGCACTTCAAAATCTGCCTTACCGTATTTATACCGTTCTCTTGTGGACTCCAGAAAACTTATTAGCACCACGTGTGAACGTTTACTTGAGTAATGTGCATGCATATTGTTGGTTGCTATTTCATGTCAATGTTACACCTGCAGTGCTAGTGTGAAAATGCCGAAAATGTTCCCAGCTGGGTTCATGAAGCCCATTTTGACTTAACTTGATCACGATTGCTCCATAGGCAGTTCGAATCCGTATTAATGTCGTCGAGCTAAGTTTGTACAGACTATTTTGCTCTCCGCGAATCACTGCAACCTGTTCTCTGTTAGCTTCATTGTTCTTGCTTGCAACGAGGCTATCTTCGTGCATTATTCTCTAAACTCACCGTTTAGCTTTTGTTCTTATTTGTATATGTCTGCCCGGGTTATTACCTATTTTCATTCTTCCTTACACAGCATTATGTCGGAAAGACACTCCTGGCTTCTTGCCGCCGTAGCTGATCGGGTGGTGCATATATGGTCACGGACGAATGGCACGGACGAACTTGCCGACGGAAATTCGGCTTCCGTCTACAATGATTACTCCTGGTCTTACACGCCAGATTCCACTGCCGCTTGCCGTAGTCTTGCTTGGCATCCGCGCAGTTGCAAACTGGCCACTCTCCATCCTACTTCCAAATGTCCCATCCATATTCAACGTGTTCCAGTTGCTGCTGGCGAGAGCATTGAGAGTGAACAACCCAAGTGGCTAACAGATGTCATGGAAGACGGAGATTGTTTGGGACATATTACCTGCTTTGCTTTCCCCCAACGAAGTGGCCGTTTCATTGCTCTCGGCCGATCTAACGGTGTTGTTACTGTCCATGGAATGCAGAAGCAACCAACAGTGACCATTCAATTTGCTTGCTTTACTCGACAAATCACCAGCGCTTCGTTTACATGTATCGCTTGGGCTTTGAATGATTCGGTGCTGGTTGCTGGGGCATTGGATGGTAATGTTTTTGTTCGACCAGTGACCACAGTCGATTCCCCATGGTATTGCCTTCCCCACCCAAGTCGCGGTCCGCATTCATTCCAACCATCACCTTGTCTTTCACTACATACTTGCCGCGCGGATTCCACTTGCATCGCGGCTGGATTTGCTTCCGGTCTCGTTGTCGTTTGGCGGCTCCAGTCGCCTTTGTCATTGTGTTCTGATGATCTTCTATGTCACCTGTGCGTCCCTGAAACGATAGATTCTCTTTCCTCCGACTTTCTCAGCATCGCTTCTTCACCGGTCGATCGCCACATACTCATCACTTGTGGTGCTCCGGATTTATGTCTTCGTATATGGAACATGGAACGTGTTGAATCTGGGCTTTGCACGGCTTCTCTAACTAGAGCCATTATGCCATTGAATAAAACTGTAGGATACTGTGCGTCAGATATTAGCCCCGATGGCACCCTATTGGTTGTCGGTCTGGCCAATGGGTTCATTCAGATTTATCGAATTGAAAATCTAAATCAACCTGAATATGAGATACGTCTACCAGAGGATTCACCTGTTGTCTCTTTGTCTTTCGCCATCACCACTCAGTCTTACGATGAGGTCAAATTTTCAGATTCAGTGTCTGAAAATCCAATAATAAAACGTTGTTCGAAGCGTTCTCCTGTTCCACGTAAACCTCTGGTCAATGTAACTAATACTGAAGAGTACTCCAATGCCTCTCAGTCTGCTGAATGGAGTGCGGTCTTTCATGGCATTTCCCTTCCAGAACTGTCCGACATATCTGATTCCAGCTCATTAAGGCCGTCTCCATCTGTCGAGCCTGTGCCCCCATCATCGGCACAATCTAAGCGTAATCTGACCGCCCATGGGTTTCGTGTTTCACCCTTTGGCACTACCAATGCACCTTCCACTCTTCCGATGAAACCGGCTTCTGCCGCGCCCGATGGCACTGTGTTCAATGCTTTTACCTCGGGGGATCCATGTGATGCGGTCCGCTTGGATCAATTTCGGGCCGAGATACAAATGTCTCATTGCAACATGCTGTACCACTTCTCCAGACTGGAGCGCAAGTTGGAGTCCATGTTTGAACATTTTTCCCAATCTGTTCTCGATTTGAAAAAGGAGAATAATGAGCTCCGACTTGAGTTAGAGAGACGTTTCCGTTTTTACTAACCATGTTCTGTTTCACTCACACACATTTCCATCTGCCACACGTCATTACTCAACCTATTTTGGCATTCCGTTGCTGATTGTGATCCCCGGTGTCGTTCAATTCGCTGTGCCGCGGTATCTCACAGGTACCACTTATTAAATGGAGAATAGCCTATCTGCCAAAGATTCTAGATGGGGTGTAGCTGCCTTTTTCCAGCCCCCGTTCGATCTGAATAACATTCACTTTGTCCACTGTGTTCTTTCTGAACGCCATGTATATGTGAACGAATTTCTTTGGACACTGTTGCCGTCGGTGGGCTTGGTCTGCGTTTTTTTAATTAAAATTATTGCAGTATTAACCGAGTGTTCTACTGGCGTGAATGCGTCGTCGAGAGCAAGTGACTGACACCATTAAGCGTAAGAAACGCTCCCGCGATTTTATCTAGTCATTGAGATAGTGACGTCTATGTGTACAGCCTTGTTTTTGTTGAGAACATTAGCTGTTTGCTGTTTTTGCTTAAATTTATTCCATTTTTCTTGTTTACCTCAGTCTCGGACCACTTCGTGGCCTCTCGTCCACCGGACGTACTAGGACTGGCTGAAACCTGGTTGAATCCTGAGATAATCTCCCAGGAAGTCCAGTTAGAAGCTTACTGCTGCTTCCGATGCAACAAACTATCGAACGACCGCGGTGGTGTGCTTCTATACATCCGGTCCTCGATGTGCGTGAGGCTGATAAGCACCTACCGAAGTGAGGATGGTCTATGCGAGCAACTGTGGTACTGAGTCCGCCTTAAGCGTGGCGTACTGTTCGTGGGTGTAGCCTATCGCACTCCGCGAAGTCGCTGTTTGGATTGATTGCCGCATGTGCGAAACCACATGAGTGGTCCACACTTCCTACTCATGTGTGATTTTAACCTCCCTCGAATACGTTGGCCTAACGTTCGACTTCTCCTCGGGCATTGTGAAGTCGACGCTAAGTTTTCTGAGATGATATTCAAAACTGGGGCATCACAACACCTACCAGCCGACGCGCATTACACCGCACTCAAATCCATCGTGCCTGGCCACCAGGTTCATCTCCAGTTTACAGGGTATGACGCATCGGATACTGCATCCGGATCACCCCCATGCTGAGGCCACTGTTTCACGTGCGCGCACCAAGCAGCACTCGCCAGCACCAGTACAAGCTAGGGTTATCGGACCTAAAGCGGCCACCTCACCCTCTATGCTTCGAACGTCGATTGGTGAAATATTGGAACAGTTTGCCTGAGAAAATTGTCGAGGCGAAATCGGTGTCGGAATTTAAGTAATTCTTATACATTCACCTTGCTGATTTCAGATTCAGAGGGCGCATCACACCCGAATGGCATATGACGTAGCTATACTATACAGCAGACGCTCAGGAACCAGTGACACGACACTGCACACGTGCCCGAACTAATTACGATGCAGCAACACAGACGCATGTCTACTAGCTCTCTATTTTCAGTATACACTTGTTCCAATAGGCTCCAAATACCCAATTACGGTGAATTCGATTGCCATTGACTATTGAGGACATTGTGAGGGAAAAATTGAACGCATATGCGGGTGAAAATGTGAGGAAAATGCGATACAAAGATGTAATTATGCGAACGGTTTGCATTCAGCTGCACTGCGTCGAATGCAAGCACACTGTTGACTTTGCGCCTACACTATGTCGACCGTAGCCTTTGATCGCTTGTTGCCGATCCCATGAGCAGCCTGTGCCAATCTGATCAAATCTCCCCACCAACCTCCTTTTTATTTCATGGACAAGCCATCTACGGTCTTCATTTAATCGGTTTTAATATAAGCGGACAATACGACCGAGGTAGAAGGTGGTCGGTGGTTATTTGCGCTGCATAGCTTAGCCAATGTAGCGGGTTCAAGTGCATATACCGATCCAGTACGATGCCATTGGTTATTACTAGACACTAGCTGCATTCCAACGGAATTCCACTCGGACAAATGCTGTTCATCGACACCACATCTTGTGGCATGAAGATCCATGGTAGCCAATCGACGGTTTGACTGCATGTATGCGGAGATTGGCCAACAGTCCTAATCAGGTCCGGTCCCCAGTGCCTTCCACACTCCTTTGAGGATCTTTTCTAAATACTTCATCCACAGGATCAGTAAGGCTTTTTCATCTTGTTTATTGTTTTCACCTTTCGACTCTTCCATTATCAACATTTCTCTTCCATTCTTTCCTTTGAATAGTTTCCTTCCTTTTCTTTATTCCTCTCACTTATTATTGTCGTCATGTCTTCACAAGGGTTTCTCTTAGAACTTTAATCCATCATGGGAGGCATGATCTATTCACTTAAAATGCTATTAGCGCCTCGAGCAGGCGTAGTCAAATTCATCTACGGAAATCATACATCCACTGAACGCTCTCATTATAAACCCTTTACTTTTCCTATGTTGTCTAAGTGCCTTCTGAAGCGTAACATAATACGATTGGTTCCTCTTTATATGGAAACCCGATTGGGTTTCTCAAATTTGATTCTCTTCAATGTCAAATATGCGCAGCTTAGAGGTGGTGGCGCGAGATCAGTATCACGATGACATTCGCACGACCAGCTCTTTTGATGATGGTAATGACAACTGACAGCAGCCGCTTACTGGATAAATCCTTTTTGCGTCAAATAAAGTCTGACACAATAGGCAAACTGCTCACCAACCAGTCACCACTTGTTAGTAACGATGTAGTAAGGTTATAGGTGCCAACCCTTCTGTTCAGCTTGTGAGACCGCTGCACCTAACTCGGCTTAAACTTCTGGCACAATGGGTTGGCCGAATTCCTCTCCCTGATGCTCCACCAAACCTACACGAAACTGAAGTCAAAAACAAATTAAATCTCTATCTCTGTGTGGTCTTATCTCATTCGAAGTAGACTTACATGGATAAGTAAATGGTGTATTCTTAAATGATACGAAACACTCCTGAACAATCAAGATCAGGATTTTACATGAGCTTAACATATCCCCATGTGTTCTTCAGTTAAGTGCTATACTGATAAATAATAGTCATGGTGTGTGGTTGCCCAGATTGTTAGATTCGTTGAAGTCTACTTAGCTCAAGGATATGTCCATTCCATCATGTTTAGGACAGCCAGAAGAAATTTACAGCTAAGTGCAATCGGAGGAGTAAGGTTGTATGGTCAAGATTATGCTTCAAGAACAGAACTGAATTGCCCGCACTCAACTGGGCGTCGTAAAAACAAGTTTATCGGTTAGATCGGTGTCTCGATTACAATGCAACATGCGGTGGAACGGAATCGTCATCTGGTTGGCCGGCTGAATCGTCGCATTTTGTAGAGGTTCGTCCGCAGGGTATAATCGTGTCCAAATCATAGCTACGAAACGCTGAGAGACAACACACTGGCTCATATTCCAAACACAGAGAAGTATAAGAACCTTGTCACAGACATGGATTCGCGGTCTTCCAGATGTCGCAGCTTACTTGGTCAGTCGGTGTGAAAGTTCCAAGCCGAGAGTGTGGAGTTCAAGTTTTGATCTTCCACTTGCAGACTGAGGATCTTGCATAGTATCATCGGGGTAACTCCAGGGAAATAGTATGTGAAATTGCTTTGGTGGCAATGCGAAGCGCCGATGCAAATCATTCAGACCACAAAGAAGAATATGACCTCTGTCCAAAATAACAAACTTGTAATGCTCCGAGTACGATGTGATAGTATCGACATGAAAGCCTGTCATCCATAACCCAGTGAAAACTGCAAGTGATAATCCTCCGATTACATGCAAGAATCCTGCGTGCACTCATCGGGATAGTTCTAAGTTAGTGAATGTAGGACAGTGGCTCTGTCCAAGATGGGAAATTGGTAATCCTTCTGATACTGCAGGTTAAAACAATAACGGGGTACTAAATCGTCGCATTTTGTGGAGAGATAATCTGCTATCCATAAAAGTTGAATGATGCGTGTGCTTCGAGAGGATAAGAGTTTGGTTTACTGGCGAACCTCGCGTAAACCAGTGACCTAAGTCTCAGAGCCTATGAAACTTAAGGAGCTGTAGACTAAGTTCTCCTTAGAGCGGTTGCAGAGCCACCTCATTAGACGGGGCCCGTATGTCATTAATCGGATTTGGCGGAATAAGTGGTAGGGATGAATATAGGGAAAGAAGCGCCGAAGATCACTATCGCTGTATATCTGAGGACGCAAGATGTTTAGTAGCAGAGCTTCAAGGGCCTACGCGGTTAAATAGTTAGACCATCAACCTGCTATTCTTGATGACGCTGGTCTTCGACATCCTTCTACGTCCCCACTTGATCCTGATACATAATGCTAAGCATCTTTTTGGTATTTCACGGATACGGTTACAACGTTTATTATGGCGCTGGGCGCTGCTATCTGCAAGATATGTCTCGTGGATGTCATCTTTTTATCGGAGATATCTAGCTATTTTTAACCATATTTTGTTGATCTATTGTTGGTGGTTTGACCAAGAATGCTTCCTTACGCATTCACGTTTTACACTGGGTTCCGTTTCTCTATGTTCCCGACAACTCTTGCCCAAGGTCCTAAAGGCCGCTGTGTCTTGTAGCTATTGTCTTTCAGAGCTCTGGGTGGTGCGCTTCTGTTCATATCCTTCCTCGTTCTGGTTTTGTATGTCCTGTTGTATCCCTTCCTGTGGCCCCTGAACCTTCGTATTGTGTCAGGCCGTTGGGCCTTTACCGTTCGATTTATCCGTTTCGATTATACTACTTGGTCCCGGTGCAGTAGTATTCTTCCATAGACCAGCGTTTTGCTCAGTATGGTCCGCGGGATTTCCTGAAATGTTATAATTCCGGCAATAACTTTTGGATGTGATCATTCCGTTTTATGATACGATGAAAAATCTGCAGTCAACTTGTTAAATCAAATCTGATACCTTGCATTAGCCTTTGTGATTGGCCAGTGTAAAGCAAACTCCTTACAAAAAGGAAATTTAGCTTGACAGAAGCTTATAATGTCAGTGCCTGAAGCTGTCAAATGTCAGAAAGTTAGTGCGATAATCTGCGATACGATGTGTAGAGGCTGGGTGGGTCATTCTCCGTCCTCGCAAGCTCGCGTAACTCAGCATTTGTCCCCCGGAGAGAGGCGGTTATTTTGAGTTGTTATGATCCGATAGCACTCAATCGGGAAGACAGTCCCATTAGTGAGATCACATCCAGGGAGCTCCTGAAGGAACGCGTGGATATTTCGGTGTTTGACAAGTATGGTCATTCGACTTTGCGAGTCCAAGAGGAACTATCTCCGCGACGTTACAAAAACTGACTGTTCTGTTTATTTTATGCTTTACTCAAACTTTGGCTAGTCAAACTTGATATTTGT